ATAATAATAATAATAACAATAATAATAATAATAACAATAATAATAATAATAATAATAATAATAATAATAATAATAATAATAATAATAATAATAATAATAATAACGATGATAATTGTAGATGATATTAATATAACAACAATGATAACAATAATAATAATAGTAACATTAATATAACAGTGATAATAACAGCGAAATGGTGGTAATGATAATGATAACAATGGTAACAATAATAATAGTGACATATTATGACAATCAATGTTGATGAAAACCCCTTTTCCTTCATTCGTTATGATCAAAATCTCTTTTCGTTATCATTTCATTTTTTTTCAAAAGCAAATGAAATTTTTTATTTTCCAATTGCTTCTTTCCATATTCAAAAATTAAAGGGTTGTAGAGTGAAATATAAATGAATGCTAATTTATGCGTGACATTATTTTAGGACAAATTTCATGATCCATCAATGGATATTCGTGCAATTATACCATTTGCAATTGCATATTTGCTGATATTTATCTTAGGAGTAATCGGAAATGTTTTAGTGATATGTCTCACTTTATCACATCGAAAACTTCAAACAGTACAAGTATTTACCCATTACTTTTTTATTGATGACGTTATCATTCTATCTATGTATGTATAGATGTTTGCATGATAACTGTTTTAACAGATCATTGAAGAAATGATTAATATTATTACAACAAAGATAATGTAGATAATGGAAATTTTTCATGAATATTTTCAGCTTAAAATTACAACAAATATATGTTAATATTAAAATTAATGGGATATTATTCAAAGAATAAAAACCGGTCGATAGATCAGTTATATAGAAGTATAAAAGATAAGAATGATCTCTTTATTGACGAGCTTTTTTTTCTACTTAATTACTTATATTATACTATAATCCGTCATCAATCAATATTTAATCAATGAAATGAAATAAAATTTTGGAAAGTCACATATTTTACAATAACTTTCAAATAATTTAATTATTTTTCCATTTTAAAAATTGTAACATTTAAATTGGTTATCGATTTTTAAAATTTCAGAATATGTTCATATTGAATTTAGCTAGTGCTGATTTAGTTGTATGTATCTTTTCACTTCCAATTACACCTGTTGCTAATGTTTACAAAAATTGGTACTTTGGTTCGACAATGTGTCACGGACTTCCATGGATGCAAGGAATTGCGGTATTCATTGGTAGTTTTAGTTTGTGTGCCATTTCTGTTGATAGGTATATTATGGTGATCTTACCAACGAGGAAAATTATCAATAAAACTGTTCGTTGTTTCTCTCTGTTAAACAAGCAAGCAAAAATAATTCATTACAATTAATTATAATTCATTCTTTCTTTGAAAGGAAAGGATTTGAAATTTAAAAATTTTTCACGATAAATTATCAACAAAATATTTATTATTCATTTAGTACGTCATTAAAATAAGAATTTTATCACTAATCACTTTGTAAGTGAAGCAAGCAATACAAATTTGCTAGTTTGACAAAAATCAAATGGGTTGATAAAAATCATTTACTGACAAAATATCAATTTTAAAGTAGTAAAGATTTTCAATCGATTCTTTTTCTTGTTAATACAGAAGCGTCAAATTAGCCATCAATTCGAATAGAAAGTAATAAGATTCCTATCAAAAAATGGAATATCAAAAATGACGGAATTAAATTTGACAAGACAGAATAATTTTGGAAATAAAAAAGTAAATCAATAATCCCATTTTTGCTTTAAATGATTTATAAGTGCATTAATTTTGTTTGCATTGATTTCTCAGTTATAACTTTATTTTAATAAAGAACTTTTCAATTTGTTCTTTCGTTTGATTTTAGCGCTCGAAATATATAACAATTGTTCTTTGGACATTATCAATAATTTCAACGCTTCCATATGCAATGTATATGGATCTTATTGTTGTTGACGGAATTTGTGGACAATTTTGTACTGAAAATTGGCCTAGTTCTCGTCTCAGAACCATATATACGGTAGGTTATGTGAATAAATTATCAACTATACCGAATATCAATAACAATCATACTTCCATTCCATCCTGCCTTTTGGATATTTTAAAAAAATTGTACTTAATATGATTGAATTAAAAAATCAATATGAATTGAAAGCCGAACAATTCCGGTATTCCTGATGTATGTAGATAAATATTACCACATTATTTGGCAGAAATTAACTGATACTTTATTAAATGGTCACTTTTAATGTATATTTTGAAACAAAAATTTTTGAAATAAAAGTAATTGAGGAAAATATAGAAGACATGAGAGTAATGAAAACTGCATTAATATCATATTCAAACATATTGATAGATATACACGTAGACAAATGTGAGGCCAGTAATTTCTAAAATCTCAAAAAATTCTAGGAGATGAAGAGAGGAAAACGGAGGGGAAAACTTCCATAAATTGGTATAAATACGAAAAATTTTTTGTTGCAGATATTTGTTTTTGTGGTACAATTTGTCATTCCATTAATAATTATGTTCATTTGCTATTATCGTATTTTTGCTAAACTACGGAAAAGGACATCAAAGAAAATCATGTAAAATTATTTTTGTAATTTTGATCAAGCTAAAGTAATAGCAATGCATATTAACCGGATTGAAATTAATCAGGTTGTCCGTGCGGCAGCTAAAAGTGGAATGAATATTGATCTCAATTACTCCTCGTCTTATTATTAGACTTTTTGCGATATGTCTAAATAGAACTAGCAGATTATCAGCGACAAAATGACATTATATTGAAATAATTTGAAATGCATTCCAGATTAGCAATCTAGATATATAGATTTTAAGTTCCGTCTTAAATTTAAATTTGGAATTTCTTGTTTTTTATTTTTTTCTTCGTAGGCAAATTTTTATGAATTATTTGAACTGTACTTTTTAATATCAATATAAATATTTCAACCGAGAAGAATTCTATCGGAAAAACAGCTTCCCTTAATAAATGTATTAAAAATATGACTTTTTCCATATAGATTTTAAAATATTAATGAATAAGTAATTTTAGGCGTTTAAAGGAACGTTCAATGGCTATGGCATCAGCAGGTTTATTGGAAAATCCCAACAATAATATGCTGGATTGCAAGAGAAATTTTGATGGTAATGATTTCAAAGAAAATCAGGTATGTAAATCATCAGTTCAATTCCAATATTGAATTATCCTAATTCCGATATTTGTTTACAAGTTCATTTCGGCTTCATTATTTGCTTAATACATTTCGATATTCATTTTAATTCTAAAAATCAAACCTGAAGTGATAACTAGGGAAGGAAGTTCTATAAATTACTTGAAAAGATCGGAAAATGCAATAATATTGCTATTTGCCTAAAAATCTATCAGGCTTTGGTAGTTTCATTATTTATGCCTTAAACGTTTTCATTTTAATAAACACTTTATTAGTAAACTTTCAGAATAATCAAGCATTCTCCCTTTTTTCTATAATTTTTCAGATAAAAGTGTTAAGAAAGGACAGGTATGATTCGATTTTTTTTCAAATTAACACTTTTATTTAATTATTTTTTCTTTCTTTTTTTCTCTTTTTATAGGATCGTTTACGGAATGAATTGTTAGCAAATGCTAGGCGTAATACGATATTACTGGTTAGTATGGTTGTATTATTTGCCGTATCATGGCTTCCGCATAATATTGTTTCATTATTAATGGAATTTGATGAAAGCTTATTTGAACGTTATGATGGTGTCAACAGTATCTATCTCATTAATTTATTTACCCATTGGTATGAACTTCAGCATAATCATTCAATTTTTCCTTCCTTCTCTTCCTTACCAAATTAATTTTATAATAAATATTAGAATATGTTAAAACATACTTCAAAATTCTATAAATACTGTAAGAAATTAAGCATATAAAACTGTGGATATATTAAAATGTTTACAATTATTTTATACATAATTTTATCAAAGAATGAAAACAATCGTTATTTTGGTTTCATGATATTTTTTGACGTTGAAATTGTCATTTGACATTTATGATGTATGGGGGGGTAAAAAAGAAATGAAAATAATAAAAAACATAAATGCTATATGTAACCGGATATAAAATATTTAATCTATTACACTAATATACAACAAGAAAAAGTTTTCAAAAATGGATCAACTTACTTTTACTTAACTTGTCCGTTCTTTAGGGTAGCAATGGCAAACAATGTTTGGAATCCAATTTTGTATGCACTCCTAAATCCATTATTCATTGAATTAATGGCAGAGACATTATATAGGTTACGAGCGATATTATGCTGTTGTTTTTATCGTGAACCAAGTACGATACGAGAAGAACCGCTTGAAGTTGAATGAAATTTGATGAATTCACATTTTATTATTTCATATCAAAATCTGAAATGATAACAAATTACTGGAAGAGAAGAAAATTTGGAATAAAATAGATAATTCATTGCCAAATTCACCACTGGGATGATTATTTGTTCAAAAATTTTCGAAAGGTTAGCAGATCTCAGAAGTACAAAGACATTAACAATTTACAATTAATCGTAAAAAACAGAAAAATTCGAAATTTATTGAAATTTCAATTATTGTTTCAAATTGACGCAACAGTTCGAATCTCTAACAAAACTAGCAAATGTTAACGTAAAATAAAGTGAAAAATCAAAGCAAAAATAATAATACGTGTACTTACGTGAACCAAAGTAAACGTGAATGAATTGATATCATCGTGTTATTCATCATTCTGGAATATATTTCAGTAGTTAGCTATGCCTATTCACAATTTAGTACATATTCTGATGTGAAAAGCATTGATTTGAAAGGTTCATGCAAATTCACATATGAGAAAGATTGAAATTTCGGGTCTAGAAATGGAATCGAACTTCCACACTGCAAACTGCAAACAACCTTTTTAAAACATCAATATTAGAACAAATCAATTCCGCTTTTCTAATTCTGACGAAATGTCATAATGAATTATTATAAAAAAAAGAAAAGCGAACAATTAGCTAATTAAACAAATTCAAGTCAAAAATGTCGCAAAACGCTTCCTCTCGTGAATATATGAGGATAACGAAGAGATCACTTTGACAGTAAACAAAGTCCGAATAGATCACTTTGATAGGAAACAAAACCAGATACAATTACTATGATGATATAAAGTAATTTACAATTAATAAAAGTTTTGTAGTGATTCGTAGTGCGTGTCAAGCAAAGTTTAAATCAAACTTGTCCTTCAATAATACTTCAAGAACTTCACGACCTCTCCGTATGTTGTGAAAACTTTTTGCGTTATTATTTATCCTAAAGTGTCAAAATTCGTTTGAAAAAAAGAAAACGAAAACTTGAGCAAAATATTTGTCGCACATTTATATGTGTGACATGTCGCAATATGGCACAAATATAAAATATTGTCAAAATAAAAATTTTGTTATAATTAAAATAAATAAAACTTGCTATGACAATGATTTATCAAACTCGAATAAAAAGTATTCTTATTATATATGCAAAAAAAGTGGTTCTAGTCAGCTTTTAGAAATATTGATATCGATTAGTCAAATAAAGTTGTCATTTAGCTTTTGAATTGCAATTGATCTAAATTCAATTCTCCTCGTTCTTTCACGAATCAAATATCAAGTTTCACGTTTAAGAATATTTAACAATCTTAAATTATCATATCAGCTATTTCCCTTCGAAATAATTTCTACTTTTACTTGTTAGTTTATATTTTATTTTAATTTCAAGTTTTTTGAGTGAGATATTATGTTTCACGTTCAACAATTTATAAAATTAAATTACAGTAATACCTTATGGGAATATTATTAGTTACGTAATAACCATTTTTTTTTAATCAGTAAAGTAATTATTTTATAAACAATCATACAATGTTATTCTATATCAATTTTTTCATTGGTGGGATAATTTCTGTCTAAATGAGAAATAAATTTTGAAGACAAAACATTAAGTCAATTTAAAATGGTTACCACGTAATTAATGATATTCTTCGTAAGGTATTGTTGTAATGTATATTGTGATTCGGTACGGTACGATTGTACATCTTACAGGATTGCATTATCCGGAAACTTCGAGATGATTGCATTGACAATTCATGATGACATTTTTGTCATATTATAAAAATCAAAGAAATAAATAAATAATGTGAAAGCAGAAAGTTAGAGAAGGAAAGATAACACACTATTAGTTTAGGTTAGCTAATTTTAATTCATTAATAAATATTTCATTAACGGATGGTTTTTTAAGTTTTGAAAAATGATGGTTTTGAAGTAAATATCAAAGATAACATTAAAGTGGCGATAATAGCAGTAGTGATAAGGATATCAATGAAATGACAATTTCGAGAAGATATGATATAATTTGGCAAGTGATAACAGCTGCTATTTTTTGATAAGTGAACTTTGAGTGAGTGTTTAATGTAATTAGTGTATCGAATGGCAATATCAACTGTTACATTTGTTTTTAAATCGTAATATATCAAATTATTTGAAAGAAGTCTTAAAAGATAAATCAAAGAGTTATTGGAGTTATGAAAGATAAAATAAGAAGGAAAGAATGTTTAAAATAAAGTTCGAAAGTAAGTTTTACTTTTTGCTTTCACAAAATAAATAAAACATTAATTAGTTATATTTTTGAAAACGTTAAGATTACAATAAAGCAATGATAATTGTTGTAGTTTCTTTTCTTTTTTTTTGCACATATCAAAGTTATTGGATTAGTGAATTCCAAGAACTAAAATGAGTTCTAAAATAATCAATTATATGGGATCCGTTTAAATCATAACACGAAATGAATTGGAATTAAGGAATCGTATATATTAAACTGATGAAAGATATTGCAATTGGTTTAAATAAATAACTTAAACACACTTGAGGCACTTAATTTATCAATTTAAAATTATTTGGAATCCGTCATTTCAAGTTCATTTCAAAATTTTTTGAACCTATTCATGGTCAATTTTAATTAATTTAAAGCCAATTTTTGTTTCAAGTTTGTTTTAGGTATATCGTTTAAAATTGTTAGCTAAACCAATTATTCGAAACATAAAAACGATATAAGTTTCTTGCAAAAACTGAAAAAGATTTAATCGGAATCTTTTTTTTTTTGATAAGGGACGTCATTATTGTCATCCTCAATACAATTTACTAATTTTGACCATTACTGTAATATGTTGCATTTTTTTTATTTTCATTTGTTACTGCTCAAACCTTGTTACTAATCTCTTTTTATTGCATTTTACTTTCCATAATATTTAGAAGTTAAGATCGGTTAGTCTTAATGATTTCTTATTAATAAATCAAAAATCGATAAATATGAAATTATTTTCAATGTCAATGTTCTGGTTCGAAATTTAACAAATTTCATCTGGAAGTTGACGATGGACAAATACTTGACGAAAGTCATTTGAATGTCATGCTTTTGTTTGGTCCAATTGAATCATTCACTGTATTCTTTGTGTTTCCGTTGTACAAACATTTTCTTCTAATTCAGGAATAAATACTTCAAATTTATAAATGAAAATTTTCATTTTGGAAGTTAAACATAATTAATTAAATGTCAACAAATTAGATGGTCAAAATTGTCAATCAGTTAATCGATATATTATTTAACTAAATTGCAAATTATTCTCATTAAAAATAATGAACGAAAAGGATTAAAAATGATGCAATCAATTTATAAACTAAAAAATTTGAATTAAAATTGATTAGGGATGAAATTATTTGTAAAATATAATGAACAGATACAATGTATCAACAATTTTTAGACGACCATTTACGACATAATGAGAATATGTGAAAAATGTAATTCAAATTTTACTTTTGGTTCGTTTGATTAGATTTATTGTGGGATATAAATTGGTTGTTCCGCATGAATAATAGGCAAAAATATTTGACTTTATGATAATACAATAATTCTGTTAGTAATATTACATCTAATTTTATATCTTCCGGATCCTTTTGATCTATAACTACTTGATTTACTTCTTGTGCTTTCCTGATTTCTTCAGCTATACTTCACTAATACTTGCTTAATTTATTACATATAACAACCTGACATAACCTGATTTATTGTTTAATTGATTTAATGCTTATTCATATTGATTAATTACTCATACCTACTTAATTTATTTATCTTATTTCTTATTTATGGTTGTCTGATTTACCCATTTTCTGACTAAATAATGCATTGGTTCGGTAAACAAAAACCCGCAAAAGACTAAATTTTAAAATGAGAGGGAGAGAAAGAAAGAAAGGATGATGTGGGCAAAAAAGAAAAATAAAAAGACACTGAAAAAAATGAGGGATTAATTAAACAGAGAAAAAAATGCATAAAAATTAAATAATTCTTTAACCATAATCGGTTCATTTAATTAATTGTTAACCTTTATGGATATATAGATTTCAGATATCTTTTGAAATAGAATGTCTCTAAACTTCATATATCCACCTGGTACTCTCAAAAAAAAACGATGAGATAGAAATTTATGGTACCAAAAGATGAATGAGTTAATTTAAGGCTTGAAATTCTTTCATTTCCAATCTTCACTTTATTTTTTGACCTGAAATTCTTCCATTTCCTATCTTCACCTCATTTTTTTTTGACCTTAGCAGAATTCCAATGAATATTTTTCGATTTTAAAATTTATTCATTAAATGTCTAATTGATTGCTATTTTCAAAATGCATCGATACATTGAGGAAGAAATGCTATTCTGTCATCGTTTACATTTACGGATATTAATCATACCGTTAGCACCTGTGTAAATATATGAAAATTTCGGTGAATGTATTCCATAAATAAAATCAATAATACATGAGAGAAATTTGATTGAAAAGAAAATGAAAAGAGAAAATGAATGCTTAAAGTTATTTCATCATTTTAATGCTTAAAGGAAAAGGTACTTTTGCGCCCCTCCTACTCAAAACATACATACACAACAAATTGTATTCCCATCATCCTTCTGTCCAATAATGTCGCGACAATTTCACTCAATCCTTTGTCATTATTTCTTTGATAACTGTTAGTTTTGTGGTTTAAAATTTCCCTGCCTTTGAAGCTCCAAAAGTGAGGTACACACACACACACATACACACAAATAGGTATGGACAACATTCATATATACTCGTTAGTTTTGCCATTTTAAGCCTCCGATCTAATCGTCTTAACGGAATCTTGTTTTAGTTTATATGTCAATGTGTGTGTGTGTGTGTGTGTGTGTGTGTGTGTGTGTATACTTGTGTACATACAGGACGAAAGGTCATAGTAATAGTCATATTTGAGTAATTTTAATTGCTATTCTTTTTAGTCATTACTAAAAAGGTTTTTAATTTAATTTCAACTTCTATCATTATTAATGATATCTTTTAGTGTAAGCAAAAAATATTCGATTTCGTTTACCGTACACTATTTAATCCTATTTACTGCAAATAAGGTAATTTATTACTAAATTAAAGGTGAATAATTATACCAGAGACTAAGATCCGATTTACTATACTTAAGAGTAATTTATTACTGTATCCAGTAGCCAATGCAATACTCAAGCTAATTTACTGCACTCAATCGAATTTGCTATATCTAAGCTAATTTACTGTATCCGAGTTGATTTACTGTATCAAAGCTAATTTTACTGCATCCATTCAAATCTTGTATTAAACTATTTCTTCGATCTTCCATTATTTACGCTAAACTACGAATTATGCTCTCATTTTGTAGTAAGTTTTCATTGTTTCTTTTTTGATAATTTTGAATTTTTCCAACTATTAGATTGTTTTATCAGTGGTACAAATTTCCGATAAAATAGCAAATATTCAAAGTAATGATTGGATTATTTTCCGGCCTACCGGATAATTCGTACAGATGTTTCCGGATATTACTGGATGTTTCTTGAAATCTTAATCAAATAGTCCATTTAGTTCAGCAATATTTCGCGTGGGCGGGACGGAAATTCGACATAATTACTCATATCTAACCAATGAGTCAGCATTTTTTTTGTGCAATTCAAGGTAAAAATTGTGATTACAGAAAGTTAGAGCAGAAAGAGAAAATTGTATTCAAAGGAAATTGCAAAATCAGGAAACCGGCAATGGAACCGGATTACATTAAAGTTAACCAGTAAAACCGAAATGTGAATGAAAGGAAGAAATTTTGGTTTACATTGAAGTAAATAGGAGCGAAAATTGCTGCATTTTCGGCGACTAATTATAAAAGGGATATAAAATTAAAACGTTAAGGAAAATTCGTTAATTGATTAAAATGAAATTCCAATGACAAAAGAGTGGAAAATGAAGGAGAAAAGATAGAAAATTAAAGAATGCGAACGAAATTAAATTGAAATTCGTCGCGAAAAATGAAATTCTTTTCCAACTTAATTATTCAGTTTTTAATTTAAAATACAATTTTACAAATTGAAGTTTTCTACGCAAAAATCATTGTTACGATATGCAATTAACAATGTTACTTATCATGCATGTATTGATTACTTTTACTCCATCTAATTATTACTTTGATTAATTGTATTATTGATCGAGAGTGGTTCATCAGATATTTGCATCAGTAGGATGTAATTCAGTATTTTCCTTTCTTATTCTTTTTTTTCGATTATAACAAAAAGAAAGTCAATAATAATTTAAAGGAAGAATTAGTTAAAAAAGTTTTATAGACAAGGATATTTGTATAATTAAAATTGTGCTTCGATTGTTGCCTTATCGAAATGAGAATAGGCTAATAGTAACTAAACATTTAATTAATATTAATATATATAAATTGTGTTAATTGGGATATTCGCTTGTTTAAAATTTTAACTTTCCACTAATACTAAATTATAATTAGTCTTGTTATAACATTAAGTTTGATCTCTTCTAATGATCTTAGCAGCCTAATATTTGATATTGAATGTTGATATAACAGCCAGATTTGGTCATTATCATAATTTACTTGCACATTCTTGTTATACTTTGCCTTTCTAGCGCTTTTTTTTGTTTTTGATAATTATTTTCTGCTTTTAGTAATTAACAATGGATAATTATCCCGTTAGAACTTAATGCCAAACAGGCTTTTTAATAAAAATGAAAATCATTCCTGAAAATTTTAATTTGTCTCTAACTTTAACAATCATTAATAACTTTGATCCGACTATTCAAGCCGGAAATGATTAATTATTCTCGATATCCCGAAAAATTATTGCATTATGCTTAACTTAGAGGTAGTGGATACCAGCTTACTGGAAAAACAAGATATAATTAACTCATGTAGTTCTTCTTATCAGCTTCCATCAATAATAATCACAATTGCATTATTGCCATTATCAAAATGATAAGTTTGCAAGTCGACCAAAACAAGTTCATATATCATTTAATTAAAAATTTAATTAAAAGCTCAAAGAAATCTTTCAAAATTTTATTAAAAATATTTACTTATTCCATTGCCAAATTTCCTTCTTCTATAAAATTCTACAAAATTCCCTTTTTTTTATATATTTCTTTCTTCTATCTTCTATGAAATAGAATTCGAATTTTTTTTTTTAGCTAATAAATACAATTCCTATTAGAATTAATTCTATCATATTCCATTCCAAGAGAGAGAAAAAAAGATACGGTAGAATATTTGGGCTACTTTTTTTTCTCAATACTCTTACCATTATTGATCCAGCAAATATTACGAACAATGAAATGAATGATCAAGAATAATGCTTATTTAGTTGATTGATTAATTAGGAAAGTGTAAGTTAAATTTTTTTCTAATTCATCGAAAATTGCAATATCGTAACGATAATTTGTAGTATAGAATAAAAACATGGTATATATTAATGAATTCGTCAGAAAGAATGTTTTTTTTTTTCCTTTTGGTTATTTCAAGTACTGTAATAATTGGCAATGTTTTATTCTATTTAATTTATTTCAAAATTTACAGTATTAGTGTTTTAGTTGCTTTTAAAATTTGTAAAATTTCAAAAAATTTATTATTTAAATGGTTTTATTTTCAAATCACATATTTTTGTATATATTCTATTTAAAATTTATATGCAAGTAAAATAAATTTGAAACTCTGCAAAAAATCATAATTTTGAAAACTTCATAAATCATAAATTAAAAAAAAATTATCCGAATTATAAATTTACTTGAGAAATGTAAAAAGAAACTGAAAACAATAGATAAATATCCAATTGTAAATTGAATTTTATTATTTCAAGAGATTAATTATCTTTATTTTAGATATGTGAAGTTTTTGATTATCATCATTTCAGGTGATGAACGTAAATTGGATCGATCCATGGTACCACCGTATACCAGTGCTGTGGCTGAAATACCAAAAACAAAAGATATGGTCGATTTAGAACTGATCATTCGAAATTGGGCTAAACAAATTTTCGAAGTTACAAAAACTCGTGAAGAAGCTAAAATCAATAAAAAACATCTTGAGGTATGAATTAATTTTGTTTCAAAATTTTTCGAGTATAAATTTAAATTTCTTTTACAAAAATTTGATAGATATTATCTTTTTTCTTTTACTCTTTGACAAATATACTGCAATTGAAGCTTTTTTTAGTTGTTTTCATTGATAATACAAGCAATTAATTTTGAATTGCTTTTCTTTTCTTTTTCTATATCAGTATTTGATTATTATTTTATTTTTTTTATTATTTAGAAAAAGCAATAAAAGTCTTTTTACGTAAGAAATAAGTGTTGCTAATAAAATGATCGTAGTAGAAAAGGCAAGTATTTGCGAATAATTTTAATTCCGAAAAAGAAGAAAAAAACTCCTACAGAAAAACCAATTAAAGTTTACTAGCAGTATCGTAATACAGCTTGACAGCCAACAAAAAAATGAGCCTATTACTGGGAAAAATTTCTTGGGTTAGTAAGTATTAACTTTCACTTTATTTATGAAACATGCATAATACGCATGATATTTATCATCAATTTTCTCCTAAAATCATTTGGTAAATGTAAAGTTTGGATAATTTTAAGATATGCAATTTTGTGCATTTTATAAATGACAAATAAGAATTTAACAAAAATTGCAAATTTAACTTTGTTGTAAAAATTGTTTCCATTAAACGGGTTATATATGAATGTATACAATCAAATTCGTTTCATGATTTAAAATGGAAATTTGTATTTGAAAATTTGAGTAATGTCTAAAATTGGCGAAAAGGAAGCAGAGAGTAATGAGATGAGATAGATGAAAAGGTGAAAGAAAGCATCATTTGATGGAAAATTCAACATTATTTTCAATTTGTCGCTTTCTTTTTTTTTCTTTGTCCCCGAATTTAAATTGAAATGATTGAAAAGAACGCTCGATGATAACGAATAGAGGAAAAATTATTGAATTGTTAACAAAAAGGTAACTGGTAAAATGTCATCATATTTTAAATTAAATGGAAAAAAAGAAAAGGGAAAATATATGGGTAAATTGAATGTTCTTTTTTTTTGACATTTTTAAGATGGGTAAATTGAAAGTTTTCTTTTTTTCTTAATCTTTTAGAATATGTTGTGAAAAAAGAAAAAAATAGTTTCCTTTTTATTTTCTCTCTAACTTTTCTTTCTGAAATGAGATTTTTTCTTTAAATGTTTTATGTTTTGAGATATCTTTTGTTACGTAAACATACTTTTTTTTGCGCACGTGAACTTGTATTGGTGAAATACAAATATGTCGTTTTTTTTTTTGCATACGTAAATTTGTGATAATGAAATATGAATATATCTTTTCTCTTTCGTATACGTGGACTTGCGACAATGAAATATGAATATGTCTTTTTTCTTTTTTTGAAAAGATAGACCAGATTTTTCTTTATGTGATTTTGTTTCGACAACATATCCATTTCATCTAGCTAACTCATTGTCACTAATGGATGACTGTCTTAGTATCATCGGACAAACATCTGGCGCAAATGGTTTCTTCTGAAAAGAATAAAAATAAAAAATAAAAAGAAATTTTCTGCTGATATTTTTATGCAAGAATTGTTTGAGAACAAAAAAAAAAAAACGCCGAAAAAAGATTTTTGTTGAAATTCTTTTTTTTTCTTGTAGTGGAAAATTTTGCCTTTTAAATTCTTTGCTTTAAATTTCAATGATTAACTCTGTTATTGAATGATCTATTATTACTTGCGTAAAATGCCAACGACTTTTTTTATTTCATTGATCGGAAGTATTACATGAAAAAAGCGGAAAGCATAAACAATAATTTAGCCTGAAATTAATTTACTCAACGGATTTCATTCTTTTGCACTTACAGATGCATAACTTTGGGAAGAACTCAATTGGTAATGATCACTACAAATTTATGAGAATTAATATTCAAATTATTCTAAATTAATTACTAAGCTTAAATCCAACTTACCCCCAGTTTTTTCGTCAAGTTGTAGATTTAAAATCGATCCAGTAGCATTTTCACCAAACCAGCTGATCAATTTTAATTTAATATTAATTAGCACTTGTTATATTTTGCATTCTAATTTAATTTTTGATCAAAATTTGGCAAATTTCTGCATTTTAATTGACTTTTTCTAAATTTGTGAAAAATGGTTCTTTCATTTCATATTTAAACCAAAAAAAAGAGAAAGGTATGAGAATGAAAATGTAAATGCAATGGCTTGTTTTCATTTCAAATAAATAATAAAAATGAAAGCAAAAATTTGTTATAATTTAAATTTGCAAAAGATATTTGTTTTCAATTACTTTATAATCTTCATTTTTAATTAATTGATTTTTAGATATTCCCTGAGTTATTTTTCAATTTTTTTGTTTTTTGCATAATAAAGATGTAAGATGAAATAGAATGCTGGGAAATGAAAAGAAAAGAAGAAAAAGAGAAGAGTATAAGAGGGAACGGAAAGTCGAAAAGAAATTAAAAACTGCTGAATCAATCCAAACTTCAATCCAAAGACAGAATCACTATTTCAATTAATTTTTATTGAATGGACCGTAAAAAAAGATTTGAAATAACTAATTTTTTCTGACAAAAATGATAAAATTTCAAAGAAGAATTTATCAAGATGGTATCAATCTATCAATTTATCAATCGATTTAAACCTGTAAGATGATAAGATGATATTATCCACCAGGTTAAATTTTTAATACAATAATGATATTGACACAAGTTTGTATTTGGTTCATAAAAAATGCAGATATTTGATTTCTGGATGATTTTACAAACATTTTGTTATTATTACTTACTAATTTTCTTGTAAAGTTAGTAATTATTAATAGTAAAATACACGACTGATATCACTAATTATTACAAACTTTGTAGTGATTAAGAACAGAATTTTTCAGTATAACATTAATTGGTCTCATTTATTTAACGAATATTTGGAACCACGATATACAGTATCAGGAATAGATACACGTTCTATTCGCCAATCAAAAAGCGAACAGGTTTTATTCAAATCAACATTTACAAATAGTACCGAAAGGGCGCAAGAATATACTTTCAGAGCAGAGCGTTGTACTCGTAGTACTGCAACGATTTCAATTGGTTCGTTTGATTTATTATCAAAACAAGAAATGATTTAAAATTTTAATATTTTCTGATTTTATTGATCATCAGATTTGATTAAAAACATTTAAAATTATCAACAACTTTTTTTAACAATTGCTTATTTAATTAACTACTTTATTATCCAATACTGATAAACATTAAGTATTAAGTGTATTGATGGATCATTAATTAATGCCATGTGTAATTGGTGATAATTAAATGATACTTGCTCAAATAATTGGACATGAGCTAAAGAAGAAAGGAAAATATCTGTTAAGTAGGAAATAGAGTTTCTGTTTTTCAACTGTCACTTATTTATTTGATCATTTAATTATTCAATATAAATAAATATTAAGTGTATTGATGAATAATATAATTAAATATAATTAATACTAAATATAACTGGTGGTAATTAGACAATGCTTAATCAAATATTTAAATAACTTTAACCTGTTAAGTAGAAAATAGAACAATTAACAAAGATCAAAGAATATAAAACAAAAAAGAATATGAAAGTAACAAGTAATATTAATATGTAAATAGATAGATAATAATAGAAAAGAAATTTAGCAAATTTAGAGAAAGGAGTATGTCGTGGAATGGAAATGGAATTAAAATTGAAAACACCATGTGAAATTGTTGAAGCAAATGCTGGTTTTCATAATGAACTTAGTATTGTAAATATTGGTGAGAATACAATAGAAGAAGAATTGAAATGGGGTGTTGATAGTACCATTGAGGTACCACCATTATGTGAAACTGTTGCTGAATTGGTTATTCTTGAAGATAATCAAACAAGGTTACTATCACTTATTTATTTTCATTTCTCATAATTATAATTTTAATTATTAAATTATTATGAATGAATTAATTATCCATAATGATTAATGTTTGCATAATTTTGTCGCATCAAATTAAGAAAATATTAAAAATGGGAAGAAATTTATATTAGGAAAGACATTTAAGTTAAATTATTCATCGAATGATAAGATACATCATAATATATCCATGTGTTCATGATATGAACTTCATTAATTTCATAAACTGTTTTCAATGAATCATTTGTCATAGTCCTTCATTTGTGACGCATAAAGTAAAGTATAAAATCCCATTACATATCGGAATGATAAATCAAATTTTGGTGGTGGTTATCATCATTATCATGAGATCATTTCTAAGATTGCATCCGTCATATATTTAATATCATTCAATCATCCAGAGTGATAGTAGCGTTGAGGAATAGGCTATTCCTAATAAATTCATATTGTATTTCAGGAATTTCGTAATGGATAGCCGTATTTCGGGTCGAATAATAGTAACAGTGACGAATTTGAAGGAAAATAACAATTTGGTGACAATTATTGAAGGAAAAATGGCTGATATCATCCGCGGTATCGCGAATTATTCAGCACTTGGTTTCACCGTTAAAGATGACGTTTGTTCCTCTATTCTTCATTCATTTTGTTTTCTTAAATTTTGATTTCTTTTTCTATATAATAGAAAAGTTATAGCTTAGTTATCAAAAGAAAGAAAAATAAAATTGAATTAATCTAGTAATTAAACTAAGATAATTAAGCTTTAGCTTTAGTGCCATATGTTTTTGTTTAGAAAAAAATACTGGAATAATTATTACTTGAGTGATTTTTACTGCTGAAATGATAATTAATTATAAAAGATATTATGATTGTTGAATAAAATTTAGCTTGTAGAAAAGATAAGAACTAGAAATTTTTTTTTTGATTAAAAAAAATAACGAAAGAAACTGTCATCTTTGCAGATTGTATCATATACAACAAAAGGTACTTGTAAATTCAAATATGGGGTAGAACAAATTGTTAAATTACGAGAGCATCCTGTGATGCAACCATCGTTATAATACGTATGCAAAAAAAAAAAAAAAGGAATATGTGGATGGCGCTGTTGTCCGGACGAAAATATTCGATTTTATCAATTGTTCATGCACGAAATGATAAACTATTAGTGTTATTATCTTTTTTTGTTTTACTTTTCATTCCATTTCATTAAATTTTGAAGAAAATTCAAACGGTTTTTTTAAAAAACACACAAAATTTTGCGCGAAAACTACGAAAAAAAAGAAGGAGAGATCTTCCTAAAAGAAATAGCACATGTAATTATTTCATTGTTTATTATCGTTATCTTTCTATCTTTCTTTATCTTAGTTGTTTATCAATTTTGTTAAAATTATTTAAAATCTGGTTCTTTTTTAAAATTTCAACAAAAAAGAAAAAAGTGAAACAAAAAAAAGTTGATGGAAATCAAATTCGAAACAAGAAAAAGTTATGAAATTATTTTTTTTTTTTCTCCTTTAATTAATCATTAACTAGCATTATAAATTGATGCCATCCTAATCCATCCTACCATCATCAGTTAATCATTTATTAAATCAGTACAACTTTATCAGTATTCTAATATATTCTATGCTTGTCCACTTATTTACTAACATCTTTTAAACGAAATGTCTTCAAATTTTGCATTACTTTGAATGATTTCTATGCTAATAATTTTCTGACTTATTATTATATTTTTCATTGTTTTCTCACATAAATCTAAACATCAAATTAAATTACTTCATATATTGCATTTTATTTTTGCATTTTTTTAACACTTTTTTAAAAATTATCATTCATTTATTGTTTGTTGAAAAAGGATAGCAATAAATTAAAATTCAAAAAAACGGTTAATTTTTTATTAGATTTAAAAATTTCACAAATTTAATGAATATTCCTTATCATGTCAGTAACAAATAATTCATTAAATATAATTAATCATTGATTTTATCTGTCATTATATTGGATCAGCAACTAATAACTTAAAAATTGAAATAAATTCGAATTTTAACAACGATCGTATTGTGTTTTTAAACCTAATAAATCTAATTTTTTTGAAAATCTAATCGTCTTTTTCAATTATGCCTTTTAATCAATTCTTTCCAAATTAATTAAATAGTCTTTTTTCCCGTGGTTCTTTTTCTTGTTAGTAAATTGATATTATCGTTACAATACTCTTAGCCGAATGGATTCATCGATTAATATACTCATGCTTGTGTTGTTCACATCTGATGTATATTCAACATTAAGGAATAAATATTTCACAATTTTCAAAATGATTTATTGACATTTGATTTACTCATTCGAACAGCATTGATTGATTAATTTACGAATAATTCCTTTTCCGGGGTTTTTTCCAGTGTTTTTCTGGTGATTGTAACACATTTTTTGTAATTATAAATGGAATGACAACACTTGAATAATCTATGCGGGGGTGTGCTCGTGGGTTAGGTATAGGTGTAGGTGTGTTTGTGTGGATGCAAAAGACCAAAAATCAAGGGTTAATTACATTGAAGCAAATTTGAATATGTCTTACCTGAATGCAATATAGATGCATGCCAATAAAACTGATCTCAAGAGTTACACTAATCATTACTGCTCAACAAATTACTGAGGATATTACATGGATCGAGAGTGATGTGAAATAGTACTTATATATTAGAGAATAGCGCAAAGTGCTCATGCTTTAGAAATTGGTATAATGTGCTCGTATTCTTCGAGATTGATGAATAGAATCCATCAGAATTAATGGATATAACTACCTATCGCTGTTCGATAGAGTAACTTTCATTTGTTGCAGTAGGAATCCGTTTTAATTTACATTTTATCGAAATTAGATTAATTCACTAAAGTGATGAAAACGTTAGCAAATTCAAATCCCGCTGCAAGCGGGCTTTTCCCGTGATTTATTTAAAATCCAAATACCAAATGATTTGAGACTTTTGTTCCTTTTCTTTTGAAAACTCGCTAACTCTAAGTTCTTTACCAAATTCCATCAATATCACATCAAACTATTTGTTAATTCCGCCCCATCACTTTTGGAAGTTTCGACCTCATCTAATCTTTCGTTTCCTCCTAAAACGCATACTATTTCATACCATGTACAAATCACTGGAATTTTCTTGTCCTTTTTAATGATTAAGTTCCTTGTGTCAATTGACTTAAATTCCATTTTAGATTTTACGAATTCTTGTATTCACTTCTATAAGAATCAGCAAATTTCAAGCCTCAATTCAGCTGACTTTAAATTTCAATCGCATAGTTTTAAATTTCTGCTTAAATCAATTTGGATAAAGCTTCATCTTCCAAAAACTGCAAGCTTTTTTCTCTTTTAATTCCATTCTGATTTTCTTTCTTCAAACTCTAATTCCAGTCATGTAATTAAAAGTATAAGCTTTAATTTTGAATTCAATTTCAGTTTTTGAATCTTCTTGAGTTCGATTTCATTTAAGCTTATTCAATCATCAAATTTATGTCGGGATTCCCATTTCAAGTTTATTTCTTACAATCTCCAGTTCATATTTTTATTACATTACTGAAAATTGATTTTGAAAAATTCCTTTCTTCTTGCAGGACAAGACTTACGGATGGAATGAATTCTGATTTGGAACTGCATTATGGCCATTTGCTGCAATTCTTTTTTCGATAATGGGCTGAAAAGATTCAGATATCGAAAAACTTTTCCGGAACAAGATAAACTTCGAAGATCCGGCTTTTTCTCCTACTTCTCTTCCCCAAAAAATTTTTTTTTAGACTTAAGTTTCTCTTCTGAGAATTTTACTTCATTCTACAATTCTACTTTCTAAATTCAAGTGATAAGAATTTTACGGATCCACCAAGTTATATTGTCAAACCTTTGACAAAAATTTCCAAATGATACCAGTTTTCAAGTGATAACAATTTTCAAATGATAACAGTTTTCAAGTGATGACGATTTTCAAATGATAACACTTTTCAAGCAATGACAATTTTCAAATGATAGCGGTTTTCAAGTGATGGCAATTTTCAAATGATAACAGTTTTCAAGTGATGACAATTTTCAAATGATAACACTTTTCAAACGATGACAATTTTCAAATGATAACGGTTTTCAAGTGTTGGCAATTTTTTTACAATATTGATAATGATTGCAGAAAAGTTATATTGTCAAAACTTTTTGATTTTTGTTCCTCAACTAATGGTGACAAAATTTTATAAATATATTAATGTGTCAAAAATGCTTACTTACTGATTATTCAAGCTTTTAAATAGTCATCATTGTAGAATTATGCAATATCGTTCCTTCATAATCATTATCAATATTATAAAATTATCATAATTGGCATATCAAACTTTTTATCATTATCATCAAATCATTGGCTTGTTTTGATCAGTCTAGTTTTTCGAGATATTATATCAGTTATACTCTCGCACTAGCATACAATCTGATTATTGCAGTCACTTATCATATGAGCAGGAGGAAGAAACGCAAGCATTAGAAGGAGGACGATATCATTTCATCATCGAGTGTCACCGCATCATCGAGTAGTATGCTGGATACCCCGACTGCTCCAAATTCTTGCACCAATATACGACTCGTTCAGTAATGGATATTCGGGAAAAAGATGACTTTGAATTGAGAGAAGTGGATTATTTGTATATTGTTTATTTTTGAAATCTTTATCGAGTTTGATTTAATGTTAGTGCAAAAACTAATTCTTATTCATCTCTTCTGGTCACTTCGATTAGTTTAAGTTTATTCCTAAACTTTTCTCCGTCATCTATGGCCAATTTTCTCAGTTGTCGTAATTAACTTATTGATTTTGTTAACGTTATTCGGATCATTTTTTGGTATAAAGAAAATATAATACAAGCCATAGATTTACTTAGGTTATAGATATTTCAGGTTCCGGAACATGTCTTATCCGAATATACTTTTACCCTTTCATTGTTTATTGTTTACAGGAATAGAATGAATTTCAAGCAGTTACGACGGTTGCGTATTGCCCAGAAAAATTTACCCATTGCGGAAAAACGTGACGAAATTTTGGAAACACTCCAAAATGTTAAATTTTGATAGTAATTCCTCGTTTAGTAATGTAGAAGAATTGAAATGAAAGAATTGACTTTGATATTCAAATCAATGAATGATACTTTCACTTGTTTGATTCGATTACGATTACTTGGAATCACAAATTATCTTACTGTCATTAAAATTGAAGATAACTTATTTTTGGTGCTTCATCCATTTTGCACGGATTCAAAAATACTTGTTTCAGGTTAAAGTTTTTCTTATTACTGATAATACAGGTCACAGCAAAATTACTTGAGTATATTTCTCATTCAGATGCAGAAATTTTTCCTGGAGTGTAATTTCAAATTCTTTAATACAATTCCAAAAAGTTGAACGGTTTTCAGGCTCCACATTATCTTCTGGATCCAGATTACGACAGTATTGCATGATGCGATCGCATCACGCAACCGGGTTGCATTGCAGTAATAACTCTTGCTTGACGAGTTGTCTATAAAACATTGAATGAATATGGGAGTAAGACTGCTTATCAAATAAGCTTGTCAATTTTTATTCAATCAAATAGCTTATCAAAATCAAAAATGCTTATCATTATCAAGTTCGAGAAAACGTGTATTTCAAAAAATCGATTTTTATCTGTCACCGAAGAACTACTTCTACGACAACTGCAGTTTGATCCGGAATTCATTTAATGTGTTGTATTAATCATTTGTTTTGATCGTTTTTTCAATATTACTTCATGCGTTCTTGTTCCATTTCAGGTTATAGGAACAAAACATTGGCAATAAAATGGCTGTATGTCAGTCTTCAAATCAATGCTCAGTATATCAACTTAATTATTAGTGAGAAGCAATGTCAACCCTATGATTATTCGTGACCATTCATTCCTAACTGTTTGTTTGCATATTTTGCTTAGAGAAGCTTGTTTATCATTTTCATTACGTCACATTTTAGACCATTATACTGGATGAAATCTATGAAGGTAATTTATCCGGTGATTTCTTGTTAGGACCATTT